TTATTTGTGACCCTGGAGCACAAAACCAGTCATAAGTAACACTATATATTTGTAGCAATACACAATAATACATTGTATGGGTAAAAATTATCCATTTTTCTTTTATGCCAAAAATCATTAGGATATTAAGTAAAGATCATGTTCCATGAAGATATTTTGTAAATTTCCTACCGTAAATACATCAAAAAAATCAAACATTTTTGATTAGTAATATGCATTGCTAAGAACTTCATTTGTATATATATATATATATATAATTATTATTATTATTTATATAAATTATATATTATTTATATAAAACTTCAGTTACACTAAAGAGAATTGTTGTAAAAATGAGAACAAAAAATATAAATGACTCTCTGAATGCATAAATCTGTCTCATTGTTTATTAGTCAAACAGAAACAAAATTCTTACCAGAATTGGCGCCTGTCTCCGTGACTGACATATCCGTCACTAGAAGTGGAGCTGAATGAGAGAAACAGAATAAAGTTACTAAAACCAATAAATAATAATATGTAATACATACTACAAATATAATATTATACATAATACAATATTTGAATTGTGAAGTATTTATATATTGCATTTGTTGTACTGTCTTATGCTGTTTTATGCATAACAGCTGTATCACTGTTTAATTTTTTGTATAAAAATGATGTATTACAGTAATGAGATCTGCTGTAAAAATTACAAAAATATATAAATATATTAAAAAATATATAAGAAATGACAAATGTAAACAATTGTAACTTGTGAATTTAATGAGCATTTAGAGGGAAATAATGTAATATATACATAATGTAAAAAGAGACAGTTCATCCTGCTCAACTGGCATATCAGAATTATTGTCTAATAAAAATAATAAAAAACAATGCCAAAGTTCTAATTTTCATTACTGTTAAACAAAATAAATTTAAATTATTTAATATGTACATATCATATTTGTTGTACTGCCCTTATGTTATATTTATTGAAAAAAAAAACATTGTTTTACTGCCATTTTTACTGTAATATGGTATAAAAATATATTATAGTAATAATATTATAAAAATGAGATATAATTGAGACATATATAATTATTTTAAATAATTCTATACTTTCTACACTGACTTGTGAATGGAATTAGAATTCAGAGGGAAACACACTTTTGTTTGTTTGTTTGTTTTAAGCGACCCATCTTATTCTACACAACAACTGGCTCGACCAATAGCGTGAGTTGGGGGCGTGGCTATCAATTTTCGACCAATGGCTGACGAGCAGCGGAGAGCGTTTTGGCCGTAGAAATTACGTATTTTATCTTTAAATATCTTGCCTGCAATAGCAAAGCCAACATAAATGACATACTTCAGACATAAATATTTTTAATTTCAAGAGACTCATCAAAACAGATCAATAATAATAATAATAAATAAAATAAATTGTTAAACGATTAATCGCGATTAATCCAAAATAAACGTTTTTGTTTACATTATATATATGTGTGTACTTTGTATATTTATTATGTAGACCTATGTATAAATATACACACATACAGTAGGCTATATATTTTGAAAATATGTACATGTATTTACACATATGTATATATTTATATTCATACAATTTATATTATATATAAATATAACTCTTTAATATAAAACAAAATTTTTCTGAAACATATACATGCATGTGTGTGTATTTATATATACATAATAAATATACACAGTACACACACACACACACACATATATTATGTACACTAAAGCTTTTATTTTGGATGCGATTAATCACGATTAAGACTGAAGACGTTCCGTAACGTTACCCCGGACCGTGAGCGTGTGTGTCTCCGGGAATCCGCTCCGCGGCGCCTCGTAGTCGGTGCTCTTGTAACGGCACTGATAAACGCCCCGGTCGACAACACTGACTGACGGGATGCTCAGCGAGAAGAGACCGCGACTGATGTCGTGTTTGGCCGGTAACCTCAGGACACTGTAATCAATACTGACGTCCATCTTTCCAGAGCTCAAGCGCAGGATTTCTCTCTCATCCTTCAGCCACTGGATGTAAATGTCTTCCCATGGTTTGTTTTTAGGGATATTTCCAAAGCACTCCAAAGTGATATCCTCGCCTTCAAACACTTCAACATGATCGGTGAGATCCGCTGGTGCTGCAGAAACACGAGACAGAGTTTTATATTACACTTTTTTTTTTACCTGTTGAAGCTTTTTCTACAGGAAGACTGATATTATGACGACATCAAGACGTTTTCTTTAAAAATAAAGGTTCCAAAACAGGTTCTGATTTCAAAAGAGTAACTTTGGTGAAATTTTTGTATTTCTTAACAAATGAGTCACGTTTACTATTTTTTTCCCAGAACATTTTATTTTATATTTTTATATTAAATCTATTTTTATACTAAACAGCAGTTCACAAACAATTACTGTACAATTTACTATTTATTATTAATTTAAATTTACTTTATTTTATTATTTTATTTTAACCAAACAGCTGTACAATTAAAATTATTCATTACAAGTTCTTTACTGCAAATTTATTGAGGGACCTATATTTTTAAGAATTTCATTTTTGGGGTCATTCTCAGGAAACTGTGCCATTTGTGTCCCCACAGATTTCTACTGATGTAACTAACAGGATCCTGAACTTAGACACATTTATTAATAAACTGAAGTCTACTGGTGTGTAACGAAACAAGAAAACATGAGAATATTAAAAATATCTATAGTTTACAGAAAAAAAGTCAATTCTGAAATAATATAGTTATTTTAGTATCATTTAAATAATATTATATATTTTTTAATATTTTGAATTAGTTTTTATTTTTAGTTACATTTAAATAAAAATATATTTGGTTACATTTATAGTAATTTTGTTGTGTTTTTGTCAATTTTGTTAGTTTTCTCCATATAGTTTTTATTTCAGGTTTAGTTTTAGTTATTTTAGTACATCAAGTTAAATGAGAAATGTAGTTTTGGCAACTAAATGATTTTTTTTTATTTTTATATTTTATTTATATTTTAAACATTTATTTTATTTCTAGTTCTTTTTTTTTTTAGTCTATTTAAAAAAATAACAATTTATCTAAAAATAATTATTTTTTAGTTTGGTTAACTATAATAACCCTAGTGTAGGGTTAAACATATGACTAGTAACGATAAATAGTTATTGATATGACTGGTTGGAACCACAGGTATTGTAATAGTAAGAATCGGCCAATGAAAACATATTTGTTAACCACTGATCTATAATAATGATGGTTCCTCAGTGTCTATGGCAGTTATATTTTAAGCCTGACAGTTCAGAAGCACCTTTTTACAAATTAAACAATGACAAATAATTAAGGCACTGTTTCCTGAGATGTCTTTTTTTTTATAGTGTATACATTTATAACTACTATTTGTCAGCTAGCATTACTGTACTTACTGGACACTTGTAGTAGCACAGAGCAAATGGGTTTTGTTCCCTCCCAGAGACATTCGTATATCTCTCCATCGTTCAGCATCACGTCTGACAGAATGAGGGAAAAGTCCTCAGACTCTGCTGGATCGCTGAGGAAGTTCACCCGGTCTTCGAACCCTCTCCCGACCGTGACAACGTCTCCTCGCAGAGAGATCACGTCTTTGCCCATCGCCTCCCAGTGAACATGCAGCTCCTCCACAGGGAACCCTGAACCATCGCAGGGCAAGATCACGCTTTCTCCAACATACGCCTGGACCTCCGACGTCTGAAGGTAGAAACCTAGACAGACTGCAGGAGGAAATGCATGAATTCCTCAAACCAGAGCTTTTACAAGGAACATTTGCTTTCCAAAATGTAGGTGAGTTTGTTTCTTCATCAGGTTTGGAGAAATGTAGCATTGCATCAGTGTCTCAGCAATGGATGCTCTGCAGTGAATGGGTGCCGTCAGAATGAGAGTCCAAACAGCTGATAAAAACATCACAATAATCCACAAGTAATCCACAGCACTCCAGTCCATCCGTTAACATCTGGAGAAGACAAAAGCTGAAACAAATCCAGCATTAAGACATTTTTTTATAACTAGAATACGAGTCCATAATCCATAATAACGCTTCCTCCAGTGAAAATGTGCATCTCCTGTTGTCTCTCACATCAAAATCCAGCCACATATTAGTTTAGAGCTGTTTAAACGCTGCTTGATCTGTGCAGATTTCTCTCCTGATTCAACAGCTCTAAACACATATGTGGCTGGATTTTGATGTGAGAGACAACTGGAGATTGGCATGAGAAAGCATTATTATGGATTATGGACTCATAATTTAGTTAAAAACATCTTATTTGTTTCAGCTTTTAACATCTCCAGATGTTAACTGATGGACTGGAGTGCTGTGGATTACTTGTGGATTATTGTGATGTTTTTATCAGCTGTTTGGACTCTCATTCTGACGGCACCCATTCACTGCAGAGCATCCATTGCTGAGACACTGATGCAATGCTACATTTCTCCAAATCTGATGAAGAAACAAACTCATCTACATTTCGGATGGCCTGACAGTGAGTAAATTTGACACATTTTCATTTTTGCGTGAACTATTCCTTTAATATCAGCAAATACACTAAACAGAAGAAATTCATTACTTACCCTTGAGGGCTATAATAAAAAAGAAAGTAGTCCCAAGAATATGCATTTCCTCTCAGAAAACCTATTAAATAATGAAAAAAGAAAAACTATTATTTGAAACCTAATACATGCTGTACTTCTAAACAATATGAATGATCAGGTATATTGTTGAGGTGGAGCACGTGGTGAGCGGATCATACGCCGCCGTGACTCCCACAAACGCTTCGAAAGCTTTATTTAATCGTGCTGACGTGTGTCACCCTGAGCCTGAAACCAGAGCCACACACAACACTCCAGACACCGCAGCTGAATTATCTCATGCAGCGCGGCCTGCGGTTAACTAGCTTCTTAGTTATAACAAAATATTTGTTTTACTTTTTTTTATTTTTTTTTATTATATTATATCTATTTATTTATAAATATAATTGTTAGACAAAAAGCAGCAATAGTTTGTCTAAAGCTCAAGGGATTTGAGCCAATTGATTCAAAAATGTATTTTAGTATTTATATACTATTAGTACTTATTATTCTGAGTTAGCTTATTTTTTATTTGTATTTTTAAAAATCAATTTAACTTGCGTTTTTGTTTGTAGTAATTTTATTATAAAGCGGAGAGTTCCGGTCCTTGATTCTGATTGGCTGAGCCGCGTTCGAAGCTGTTGTAAATGACTCTACAAAGTAACATACACCTTTGTTTACGTTTGTGTGTTGCTCGGCAACCACTTTGTTGCAACCACAACTGTTTCTAAGGAGCTACATTGTTTGGTGGAAGAATACTGTTTTTATTAATATCATTACACTTTATTTGCTCTGTTTTATTTTGTGAAACCTTACTACGTATATGGAATAACCGTTTTCTAAAAGCAATAAGCCCTGCGAAACCATGGTTTACAGTGAATTTATAACAGCTAAGGGGGTTTACTCCGCTTCACGTCGTACCTAACAACGTCTCTTAGCTGTTATAAATTCACTGTAAACCACGGCTTCACGGGGCTTATTGCTTTAGTACTTCAGCTTAATTTAATTTATTATTTAAAATTTTAATTCATATTTTATTTATTTTACTTATTTAGTTTATTATAAAATTTATATCAGTTTTTTTTTTTTTGCCACGGTAAGATGTTTTTAATTACATTTAAATTTTAGTTAACAATTACAACACTGGTTATGTACTTTATTCATCAGAATTAGAGATTTAACCTGTATTTGAGCATTTATGTTGACTGATAGTGTATGCATCAGATATATTTTATATTAGTTAATCAAGTTTGATGGAAAGGCAAACAAAATTGAGGAAAGAAAAATTAAACCTGAAAAAAATGTATGCATTAATAGACTGTATTACATAAGACATATTTCATATAAGACAAGATATTCAATTCAATTCAAGTTTATATGTATAGCGCTTTTCTCGATACAAATCGTTGCAAAGCAGCTTTACAGAAAATTTTAAGTTTCTACATTATATTTAGGAGTAGGTTATTAGTGGTGACTATGGCAGAAATATAATGCAGTTAGTTACAAATTACATGTAATCAAACAGACGGTGAACACTATTAACTGCAATGATTATATGTTGCGATTAATCTTTGTGATTGCGAAGTTTAATCGCAATCGCATATATGAACATATATATTAACACCTTAATTTCACCTTTCTAATTTCACTGCTTCATGATAAATAAAATGAGTATTCAGCAGTGAAATTAGATGTTTCTCCAATATTGTTAATCAATATTACCAGCTGAAACTATCATTGCACCGTACACTGTTAAAAAAATTCCGTAAAATTTACAGTAAAAAAACGGCAGCTGTGGTGGCCAGGATCTTACCGTAAAAAATACGGTAGCAACGTTTTAGGTTTTACGGTTTTAACTTAAATATACAGTTAATGAAGTGCATGACAAAATGAGAAAATTAAGCAGCACTTACCAAGTCCTCAGTTATTCAGTTGGTGCTTTAGATTGCCTCATTCATTCAGTGTTTTTTAAGCCACTCTCGCCTCGCCTCGTCTTGAGTTCACAATGAAGTTCAGTGCGCTTGAGGGCCGAGCAACATGCTGAACAGAGAGAACATGAATCCAGCGGATCTGTCCGTAAATGTCATGCTGCACAGATGCTGCTTTATGTTTAGGGCTCGAGGTGACATGCGTGCTAAAATATGACCTGATGCAACATCACAATTAATTACATTACACTGCAGTAATGCCATTGCCTTTACAATACTGCAGTGCATTGGTATGGATTTAATAGCTTAGGCTTGATTCGTCCTTCATGCATGTTTTGTCCAACACTCTGACTCTAAGTATTTTTAATGTATAAGTCGTGGCTGTGAAACGTTAGACGTGGAGGCACACGGGCTCCAGGATCATCTTCTGAATGATGGCATCTCTTGGCTTGACCTCAAGTATTTACACTCTTCAACACTTCTGGCTCTATTTTAAGACGAGCAAGACTGATCTGACTCACACGAGGACAATGACACAAAGACGAGCAGTTTGTAAAAGCCTAATTGCTTAAATAGCTTTATCTAAAGCGACTTACAAAAGAACAAACACCTGCACCAATTAATGTTTTATTTTGCCCGGTAGACATGTATATTAAACTGCAGGTGTTTAAAGGCTAAAAAAATATCCATTTCACTACCACAATGTGCATACCATTAAACATTTTAAAATGTATTTTTTTTATTTATATCTATCATGACATTAAATCTTAAATGTTACGTTTTTTTTTAAATATAATTTCACAAAGAAATGGTCTGTATGGCCCTAAAATGCAATAAATAAATATTATTTATAAGTAATCCAGATTTTATGCTTTTTTCCCCCCAATTTGTATTTTTTTAAAAGTGCATGAAAATGGTCTTCACAACTCAAAACTAAATCTGTAAATATCTATCTATCCATCCATCCATCTATATATCATCCATCCATCTATATATCATCCATCCATATATCTATCTATCCATCCATCTATATATCATCCATCCATCTATAGATCTATCCATCTATATATCTATCTATCCATCCATCTATATATCTATATATCCATCCATCCATCCATCTATATATCTATCTATCCATCCATCTATATATCTATCCATATATCCATCCATCCATCTAGTTACCTACCTAACTATAACCATGTTACACTATTTTAATATATAAACTGAAGGAACAAATTATATAAACACTATACATACTCTTACATATAAATATTATGTACACTCAAATCAATATTTCATGTCATTTATTTATAAAGTAGCCATGTAATTAACATGAAATGTAGTTCACCAGTAATCATTACCAAACTATTTACCTCGAATTATTTCCCCGCCACACACATTTAAATGCTCGCTTCACACAAGTTTGTTCTGTGCATTTTTTGCACTCATCCTTGACAATATTAAGAGAAACACATAGCAGAAAATATTTCAACTTATTCATTTAATAAATTCATACAAGTGTGATAAATACACTGGCAAAAAGGATTTCAACAGTCAAAAATATAATCATGAGAGCTTTTAACACAGTTTTACATGTTCCTTCCTAAGGAAGTCATGAGTTGCTTCTCATCAAGATTAAAAATTAAACCGTAAATCACACATGCAGTCTAAAACATTATTGCAGCCCATAAAAATATAACTGATTTAAAACAACAAGTTAGACCGTCCAAACTCCTAAAAGCTACACTATATTCAAGCCCAGTCTCTATAAAGAAGAAGTGAGTAAGTAAGCGTCACAGGAAGCCACAGATATTAATAGACAGGGCTTGTCAGCTCTCTATTAATGTTCTCCCAGAGCCAGATCTCAGGACTTCCAGCTGTACGAATAGTCTCTCATGTGCAGCTGTCGGAGCGCACTCTTTCCCAGCATGCTCGGCGTCGCCAGCTGCTGAATGGAGCTCTGCTGGAGGCCACATCGGCCCAGATCCTGTACCACAGACTCCTGGAAACCAAAGTTCAAACCAGAGCATGAGAGCTTCTGACTACACAGACTTAAGAGAAATTAAAGGGATAGTTCACCCAAAAATGAAAATGTGATGTTTATCTGCTTACCCCCAGGGCATCCAAGATGTAGGTGACTTTGTTTCTTCAGTAGAACACAAACGGAGATTTTTAACTCAAACCGTTGTTTTCATTTTTGGGTGAACTATCCCTTTAATAAAACAAAAAACATGCAATACTGAAGAATTAACTGTTTCACGTGTGTTTGGGAACGCAATGGGCACTATGTTTACTTTAAATACACACCTGCATCATTTCCAACAGTTTTGTGGACAGATGTTTACAGCATTTCGCCAAAATACAAGCTTCATGAGTAGGGTTTGGACATTTGAAAGTGAAGAATTTATGACAGAAATATTACTATTATTATAATTTAGTGTAATATAAATTATAATTTTCATAATTCATATAATTTTTTACAGTACATTTTAACTTACAACAAAAATTTTTTTTTTTCATAATTAAGAGTTATAATCGGCAATATTAATACAATTATATATACATATATTTAACTAAAACTAAAAACATTTATATAATAATATATTAATTAAAATTATAATTTATTTAGTAGTAAACAAACTATAAATTATTAAAACAATAAATACAAAAATTATTTACCATGTTAAATTATGTTCTTTAAACACAGCATTTTTTTAAAACCATTTTAAATTTAAAAACTACTACTAAAGTAATAAAAAATAACAGTTCAAATCAAAATATGTAACAATAAAATTTTTTGGCAGTCATGCAGCCCTAAATAAGAAATAAATAAATCCACTTACTATTAAAAAATATATATATATATATATTTTATCTCTTTACTAGTATGTCATGTGACTGATAGCCAACATCAGAGAACCGTGAATATGCAAATGTGTTGCTTAATTGAAATATTATCTGAAAATTTCAGGGGTATTTCAAGAAAATAAGAGGTATGCCTGACAATAAAAGTTTGGGAATCCCTGGACTAGAATTTTAATGCATTTACACACTTTAAAAAAATGATTATTTGAAGAAATAAAAACATTGGTGTATGTTTTACAAGAAAACATGATTTCAGTTTTGAATTCAATGTGTGACTTACCGTTTCTTTGTAATTACTTGTGAAATTTCCTAGCAAATTCTGAGTAAGAATGGTTTTAAAGTAAATCCTACAACTTTCTTTTCCAGTGTGAATGTAACACAAATTCCACCTCGTCATGTGTTTGAACGCACCAGCTGCTGAGGTTCAGAGGTCTGGCTGAGGGGCACGTTCAGCACGGCCGTGGGCTCGTGGGTGTAGAGACCCACAGAAAACTCTCCTTTCTGAGCGGGTTTGAGGAGCTGCGTCAGCGCGTGGAGTGTGTGGGGCATGATGGGTCCCGTCACCTCCAGACTGCACACGTCCTGATAGCCCATTCTCACCCGAGTCTTCACATTCACAGCCCGGGCCTAAAGCGTTTTCATTCGCAGCAGAAGAGACACACAGACAAATCGCTTTCATTAGACAAATACATGATGCAATCTGGGTCCAGTAATAGCCTCAATATACTGGTGCTGGTAAAAAGTAATATAAAACTATATACTAAAAAATATATACTAAATATAATTAAACAATATTATAATAAAATTAAATTAAAAGTGATAAAAAGTATAACAAAATGCAATAAATATAAATAAAATTAAAATTAAAAAATGCAACAAAATATAAAATTCAAAATGAAAAAAAGGAAAATAAAATGCAATAAATATTTAAAATAAAAAACAATACAATATAAAAGTAAAATGCAATAAATAAATTTAAAAAGGAAAAAAGGAAAATAAAATGCAATAAATATAAATAAAACTAAAATACAATAAAATTTAAAATAAAAACAATACGATATAAGTAAAATACAACAAATAAAATTAAAACGGAAAAAAAATAAATAAATACAATGCACTGCAACAAAGTAAATTTAAATACAATAAATAATGCAAAAGTGAAAAATGAAAAGCAATAAAATATTACAATTACAATACAATAAATAAAAAAAATGACTAAATGCAATAAACAAATTAAAAATAAAACTTAAATGTAAAAGTAAATAAAATATAAATAAAAGTTCAATAAATCAAAATAAAAAAAACTAAATTCAATAAAATAAAAATACAGCAATTTTAGTAAATATATGTGACCCTGGAGCACAAAAGCAGTCATAAGTCGCTGGGGTAATATTTGTAGCAAAAGCCAACAATACATTGTATGGGTCAAAATTATTGATTTTTCTTTTATGCCAAAAATCATTAGGATATTAAGTAAAGATCATGTTCCATGAAGATATTTTGTAAAATTTCCTACCGTAAAAATATCAAAACTTAATTTTTGATTAGTAATATGCATTGCTAAGAACTTCATTTGGACAACTTTAAAGATGATTTTCTCAATATTTAGATTTTTTTGCACCCTCAGATTCCAGATTTTCAAATAGTTGCATCTCGGCCAAATATTGTACGATCCTAACAAACCATACATCAATGGAAAGCTTATTTATTTAGCTTTCGGATGATGTATAAATCTCAATTTTGAAAAATTGACCCTTATGACTGGTTTTGTGCTCAAGGGTCACATATGTGAAAACATCAGTCTAAATCAGTGATAAAGGAAAAATAAACACCTTTGAATGCTAAGAATGTGACAGCACCACAAATCTAGAACATCTAGAAGGTGAAACACGAGGCCTCGTACCTTGAGCGTGTGCAGTGTGGCCCCTCTGAAGGCTGTAGGGGCCAGTAGAGTTGGAGGAAGCCCCGCCTGAGAACCGGCTCCAGCCACCAAACTCTTACAGTTAATGAGGAAGTTGAGCAGCGTGAAGGTGTTCGAACCCTCCACCAACACCACCGACTCTGGTCTGTGGTCCAAACGCACCTCTCTGTGCTCCTTACGACTGCGGCACGACTTAAGGAACGAGATCAGGTGGATTGAGCTTTGGGCTATGTTTCACATATAAAAACATGTCATGTTCCATGTAGGGTTATAATACTTAAACTAAAATCAAAACTAACACCATTAAAAAAAACAAAAACATTTTTGTTACTTGAAATAAATGACATGCCAGCATCAAGGCTATTTTCATGGCGATCTCAGAAGGTATACAATTAACAAAGTTATATTATAGAAGTTTCAGATCTACACTAGACAAAAATTCTAAAATACATTCAGGTGATCTATTTTTAAACAAATTTAAACACACCTCTGAATAAAACTGTTGTCTATTTACATTAAAAATAGTACAATCCAATAAAATGTAAAATAAATGTCAACTAAAATAATTTATTTAAACATCAACTTATTTGAATTCAGCGTCAAATATCACGTTTTTGTTCAGCTTAACTAAGTACTAAAATATCAAACCAAAATTAAATTAATAAATAAAAATTAATAAAAAAAATTACACATTAAAAAAAAAATTCAAACAAATCAAAAAACAAAAATTATAATCTTTAACTAAAATTAATTTAATTAAGAATTTTGTTTAATCGAATTAAAAAATATAAACAATTAGATACTTCAGATTTCATCACTAAAGAAAGCACTGCCCAAAACACATGCAGATTGTAAAGGATACAGTTTGATAGAAATGGCATCTGGTTTCTTGATCTTGTCTTGGACGCCCATCTCCTTCAGCCAGGAAAATCCACCATCGTCATCATCTTCATCCTCGTTTTCCTCGTTTTCACTTGATCAGCTTGATGCCAAACATTTCAATTTTTTATTTGGTTTAACTTAAAAATAAACTAAAATTAATAAGTAAAAATGAATACAAACTATGAAAACACCATGTGCCAATATTTTAATTTTATGAACAATTCAGATTTCCTAACTAAAGCATTGCATAAATATGTGCGGCTCGGGCTGATTGTAAAGGATACAGTTTGATGGAAATGGCATCTGGTTTCTTGATCTTGTCTTGGACGCCCATCTCCTTCAGCCAGGAAAATCCACCATCGTCATCATCCTCCTCCTCGTTTTCACTGTGCTCACTTGATCTGTCAAAGCAAAGATGAGGAACGCACTGATGAGCACTGAAAGCAGATCCGCATCCTATCAGCGGAGAGCGGTCCTGTACTCACACAGACTCCTCGCCTTCAGTCTCACTGCGCTCTCTGCTCTTCCTCGTCTCCTCCAGCAGAGGGAGAGAGAACTCTATCCCTGAACACAAACATGCATCCACAGCTGCTCACAAGACTACTTCAGAAAACAATAAAACATCACTCCAGGCTGTGCATTACAGTGACTTCAGCACAGCTAAAATCACTGCAATTCAAAAAACTAATTCATTAATGTTTTATTAAAGTGCCCCTATTATGGATTTTTGAAAATGACCTTTCATGCAGTGTGTAACACAACTCTAAGTGAATGAAAACACCTGCAAAGTTTTAAATCCGAAAGTGCACCGTGTATAAAGTTATTGTCTCTCAAAAGAAAGAGTCGACTCTGAATCATTGAAACGAGTCGTTTTTAAAACGAATCCCAAGCAGTTGCATACTGACATCAACATGAAACATTAGCATATTGCCCGCCCACTTGTTGGTGTTTTCGCATTGGTCTGAATGAAAATGCAAATTTATTCTTTGCCACTAGGTGCCGCTTTTGGAGCGGAAAAAATAGCGATTTCCCCGGTAACACAAATCAGCACTGCGCTCACAAACGCTGCTTTATCAGGCATTACAGGGCGAGATGAAATGAAAATGAGACCAATCGGACCAATCACCGCAGATTAGCATCACGCAAAGGAGGGGTTTGGAAAAATTCATCGTTGGGGAGTCATTGAGCAAGTAAGGTAAAAATAAATGCATATTATAACACAATGAAAGTGTTTTTTGACCTTGCATGCATGTCAACATGTTGTTGTGGACTCCCAAAACCAAAATATGAACCTTTCATAACCCATAATAGGGGCACTTTAAAACCATTTCAAGGGTGCAATGAAAATTTTTCAAATAAGATTCAATGTATTTTATTATCATTCTGTACAAATAATGAAGAATTATTTGAGAAATTACTCTCAAATTATTCTCTAGCATATCATACTGTACACACACAGAAACTTCACCGCAACCTGTCAAAATAAAAGTCCAGTTCAACATTTAACAGAGATATATTACTCTTGTATTACTTTTGTACAGTATAATGTACATCTTTAAATATTTTATTTTCTGGCAAATTGAAATATAACAATTGAATGATAAAAATAAATATTACAACCAGATTAACCACTTAATTGTAATTCAATTATTATTAAAACTTTTTATTAAAGGAATATTCACACAATTTTTCTTCCATGCATTAATTTTAACAGTAAACCTCTGTTTTTGTTTGGCAAAAAATAAAAGGGTTTAGTTTTCATTGATAAAAAAAAAAAATGTTTAATGCCTTCATTTGAAAAATTAAAACACAAGAATTTCTGAAAAAAAAAGAAAAAGATTGTAGGGCCCTATTGTTCAAAATGTTGAATAATTTAGAGTTTTGGACTTTTTTTTTCACTGAAATAAATGTTTTTGTTATTACAGAGAAAGTAAAGTACCGAAAAAAAGGTACACCGAATTTCAGGAACAGATACTGTACCGGTTAAAATGTGAACAGTACCCAGCCCTAGCGCTTACCCTCCGCTTTCATGGCCTCGCGCAGCCCTCTAGTGGTGGGGGACAGCAGTGCGCTGAGGCCTTTAGCGCCGCTCAGACCGGCCGCTCTGAACAGCACCGTGAACTGATACGAGCACAGATAGAAATACGGACAGAGTCGAGCCTTCAGCAGACTGTAGAGAGACGTCAGACTCACAGACCTACAACACACACAAAGCCTCAGTCAGAAACACATATGCCAGCTAGGGCTGCACAATTAATCGAATTTCTAATCGCGATTACAATTATGGATGCCACAATTACGTAATCGTTCAAAGCGGCAATTAATCGTTCAAAGTCCACTTATGTTATTCTGCATGCCTAAGATGTGTTTTTTTTCTTTCTATAAGGGTTTTCCAATTATAATTTTAGTTTTAGCATAACACTATAATACCATTCATATATATATATTTTTTTTTTAATAATTTAAAGAAGAAACCAATCCGATGTGTATTTGAGAAAAGCACTAAAAGTTTTTCAGTTAGAGTGTTTTCAGCTTGTTTATTTTCATATAAAAATACGGCATGCAGTTGCATCAAACAATGGTATAAACATCATTCAATGTAAATTGGGATAATCGTAGTTCACTCACTGTACACCCCCCCCTACACACTTGTATTACATATATGATGTTCGGGGCTAATAAAAGAGTGGAAATTTTAGGTCCTGTGTACCTTCACTCTGTTCTCCTATTGTCTGGGCCTATTATTAGTACGTGTATGTGTGTTTGTATGTGTGTGAGAGTGTGAGTGTAAGTGTGAGTTTTGTGTTTTTGCCCCTGATAAAGCCATTATCGACAGATTCCGATATCGGTCCGATAATATCGTGCATCCCTATCGCAAACGAGAAGATATCGCCCGTGCCTACATGCATGTGGCAGAAACTTCACAAACTCATTCCTCTCTCGTACCAGTCGCTCATCAGACTCTGCTGCAGCGCTGTGTCCTGCGCCCACGGCACGCACTTGCCAGAGAACTTGCGCTCTGCGCCGATCCGCGGGAAGAGCGAGAGCCAGGGCAGTGACGGGTGCTGCCAGTACTGAAGACACTGATGAAAGCCACAGCGCAGCTCCACACAGCCCCGCGGCTCCTGCAACACACACCACAACCACTTAAACACACGCTTTATACATCAGAATTATTGCATCCTATTGGAATATATTAACTATGTACTTCAACACTCTCTAAATCTTCACTCTGGTCGACTAAATGATGTCTAATATTAGCCACTGGCTAATAAATTCTCAGATTTTACTCGCCAGTGTGTGAGTTGGAGGCTAAGTTAAGCACAGATATATTTTCACTCTCCGAACACTCTGACTGAGCGCTTCAGAAATCTCTCCCAGTCAAGCGATCTGTAATATTTTCAGTTCATCTCTATGGATGTGCAGCGCACCTGTAAACTTTAGTGTGAAGGCGCATGACTCGCCGTCACTTTGCTTTTTTCTCACACGCAAAGAGAGCGAGAGAGACAGAGCGAGAGAGTCTTACATACCATGCAGAATTGGCGCGCTATACGTAAACGGTATTCTTTGTTGTATTTTCCTGTCAAAATAACAGAGTTCCTTTGGAGCTTTTAAGAACTGCCGGGTTCTCCGGAAGTGGGCGGAGCTAATGCGCAAACGACAATCTCATTGGCTGGCGCTCACCTATTATCGTCCCTGTTTTGATTTCAGCAAATCAATTCGAGCGAATGCACACAACCCGATTAATATTCATGAACCCAGCAGCTCGTTAATCCTTACTGCATTTTATATTGTTATTATTAGTAGAATTCGTATTATCTTACCAGTATTATTGTTCGTTTTTTCCCATTTTTTTTACAGAAACACAGAATGACCAAAAAAGCATCACCACCATTCCTAGGTTTAGTTAAAATGACTAATATGCATTCATACATGGTACATTACCAAGTTTAAATTCTAATTACTAAAGTTCTATCATTAAATGATACTTGATTATCATAATATCATATTATATTAGAAAAATTAAAAAACTAAAAATCCCGTGGAGGGTTGTACTTCTGAAAAGCTCTAAATATTATATACTGAAAATATGGTTACACTTTATTTTAAGGTGTGCCTGTTACAGTGTAATAAATATATTTAAGTACTGAGCAATATTAATTAACTACATAACTACAACATTACATGTGTTTATAGCGCTCAATAATTGCCAATCCATCCTATTTTGGGTACAAATCTGAAAAAATAATACCTCTCTCAAAAGAAATGTTAAGCAGACATATAATAATCCACACTTTTTCCAGTGTGCAGAGGTTTACACAAGTTTTTTGTTGTTAATTTGTTGCAATAAAACTCTAACAGAACCAAACCGAAAACTGTGGTTAAAAACCGAGGTACGTATTGAACCGTGGACTAACTGTATTGTTGCATCCCTAGTAAACACCGTTTAACAAAATAAAATAAAATAAGTCATATAAAATCATAAAAATAGAACTAGGGATGTAACGATTCGATTAAAAATTTTTTTTTTTTTTTGACAAAATGAGATTTAAGACAAATTATAAATAAATGTGTCCTTTTATTATTGCAATGGACAAAATGCTGCATGTTTCTTTGTGAAATTGAAATATAACACTATAATAATATACTAATATAGCACTTGCATATTATTGCTCTTTTGTTGGTTTTGATTGCTTCTATTGTCCTCATTTGTATGTCGCTTTGGATAAAAGCGTTTGCTAAATGACATTTTAATATGATGTAAATGTAAATAACAAAACTAAATTGAAATTTTAAAACAAGCCCCAAATCAAATAAATAAGTACAACAAATAAAATAAATCTCTTCATATAAACAAACTAAGGCTTTGTCTGTGCTCTTTCCATTTAAAATTAGAGGCAACCACTGCATTTTAATCATGATCCAAACAAAGATGCTGCATACATGCAACATGAGCAGTTTTTAATCTAAATTGGATTGTATAATTTTGAAATTTGAAGCAAAAACAGAATGGTTTGACTTCAGTTTTGTGAAACTATACAAAAAAATAGCTGCATGAAACAGAAACAGCAGATGAGCTGAATGAGACGCAGATTCACTCTCCGCCAGCAGGTGGCGCTTTAAGCACTTCCTTGGTTTCCGCTGTAAACAAAGCAGCGCTGCACTTATGAACTTTAATATGCATTATACAGAGGCAAGATGAAAAGAAAAAATACCATCTAAACTTTTCTAAAGACAGTAAGTTCCCCTCAGACACACATTCATATAAACTCCTACCCCTAAATGAATCGCGATTTGTTTAGCATCTCAACCGATTTGAATCGTCACATATTTGAATCGATTTCCAACCGGCTCGCGGTTAATCGTTACATCCCTAACTATGACAGATCTTCTCCTCTGATTGGATTTGAACAATCTCATGATTCTGAAGAGACCTTTGACCTCTCGAGCTCAGAAACGAATGGTCCTCAGGAAGAACAGGAGAATAAAACTGATAAAGGGATGAGGTACAGGAAGTATGGAAGGGATCGGAGAAGAGAAACAGGATTCTGGACTCTAAAAGCAATCAGTGATGTTCTGCACACTGACCTCACCTCAAACTCTCCTCCTGCACTAAGATCATAAGGAGCTGCCAGCCATAACACACACACACACACTTCCAAACGCTCTTCTCCATCCCTTCAATAAGAATAAGCCCTGCGCTGTGTGTTTATATATACATGAGCTTTTTAAAGGCCTCCAGCACAGATGTTTTCATGCAGAAGCGGTTAATACAGACAGGCCCAGAGCTGATGGACACTATCAAGTGGATGTCGAAGTGCACACACACACCAAACTCCCTCAAGCTGTGATGATTAAGCTCTTGTCACGCTCTGTAAGCTTGCTTTTGGAGAGGACCTGGCTCGGTCTTAGCTGTCAGTCACTGGTCAGAGGCAGAAGAAGAGGATCATTATACAGAGACAAGATGAAAAAAAAAATACCATCTAAACTTTTCTAAAGACAGTAAGTTCCCCTGAGACATGCATTCATGTAAACTCCTACCTCTAATTGAATCGCGATTTGTTTAGCATCTCAACCGATTTGAATCGCCACATATTTGAACCGATTTTCAACCGGCTCACGGTTAATCGTTACCGGTAGGCTGACCTCTACTAGTATCTACAGAAAAATACCCTTCCCTATAACTGTGTCCTCACCTGTATATGAGCAGGTAAGCTGGAGAACTCGGCCCTGCAGTGAGAGCCCAAGCCCTGCGCCTCCTCCTGCGCCTTCAGATGCTCGGCCCAGGAGAACGACTGAGGAGACGTGAACAACAGACGCGTTTTCAGAGACCAATCGGTAGGGAACTCCAGACACACTTCAGCTGGAGCCACGTCACAAACCGCCTCTGGACCCTAGAGACAAACACACGTCAGTGAACCTCTCATCATCACGGATCAACCACGACAGAAATCATGAGGAACTGAGACAGACACCTTCAGCACTGCAGCGGATCTCTCCGGCTCAAACAGATCCTCCTCAAACAAACCCGCATCTTCAGACAGAGAAACAGGCGTCTGCAGACAGATCACAACACAATTAGCACATGCACATCCATCCTGTAAACATGCCAAAAAAAGGAATAAGAAAAATCGCCGATAACCAATATGATATTATACAGCAGCTTTCACAGTAAATGTCTTGAGTTAGAAATGCATGCTTCTGATCTTAAACAAAATCTCACATCGAAACTTTTTATTGTAAGAAATTATAAACAGCTGAGTTAAAGATAACATTATTATTATTATTATTATGAGTAAATATGAATTATGTCATGACCCCAATGAGCCCACTACTTAAAACGATAAATAAATAAATACATATTAAACTAATAAACTACAAACACTAACATTATATATACATAAAAAACAATAAAACATGAATATAAAAACTTTTTAATCAAATATATTTAAAAAAAAAATCTAAACATTAATATTTATTATAAAAAGTACACCTTAAATAATTATCAAAATGACAAAGACAATACTAAAATGATTTTTAAAAATCAAAACTTTATGTACAGAAGCAATTATGAATAATATGATTATATAAAGGTCTACAGAAAAATATTTGTAACCAAAAAAAAGCAAATATACTTTTATATTATAAAATAATAAAACAAGCTTTAAAATAACATATGATATAATAATAATAAATAAAGTAAGAATAATATATTTAATATATTTTCATTGAACCTAAAAATAAAATACAATTTGATGTTAAATAACAAATAATAAATCTATTTTAAAACTACAAATAACAAAACTATATGAATTAACATTTTAAAATTATATAAAACAGTACATAACATATTTAAAAAATATATCAAAATATAAATATTTTATATCAAACATAATAAAAATAGCATTCTATTTATATTTTATTTATATACATGTCGAAAGTTGTGTGGTATTTATTTACATGTAGGCCTATATTGAAATGCCATGTTAATATCATGGTAAATGAATGTCAGTGTGTCTGTGTGTGTGTGTGTGTGTGTGTGTGTGTGTGTCTGTCTTTGTGTGTGTGTGTGAAAGGAGGGAAGAGTACTCAAGTTATTAAAGGCATTTCTATACATGATGTTTCACAGAGCTCCATCTCCCCTTCTCTCGTCCTAGGCGTTGGAATCCATATGACACATACCGTTTTGTATGTTTTTTAAGCCTTTTGTTTTACGGGGACACAGGAAGGGACCTCATAAGCCATGTTTACGTTGTAGTACCCATGTCATTACTCATTATACATATTTGTGTCCTCATAAACCATATATACCAACACACACACACATATATATATATATATGTGTGTGTGTGTGTACTGGTAGATGGTGTACAGTTGACTGTAATGTACCGTTCTCTCACCTTTATCTCGTGTTGTTTTTGTTGCTCGGTGTTGAACAGCTCCTCTCTAAATGATGTTCCAGCGTTCGCGCGTTCTTCCCCGAGTTTCCCGCTTAGTTTTCCGTCCAGAACCGCAGCTGCCGTCTTTCTACCGTCCAGAGCGCCGTCGTGTCCGTCTCTATGCGATAACGCTCTCTTCTTGGGACTGTTGTACGTGTTCTCGATGTTGGCGAACGGATTTCTGCGCTTCCCGCCGCCGCTCGCTCGGCTCGGTGCGTTCAGCAGCGGCCCCGGAGAGAACGGACGAAGCCCATCCACCGTCCTCCGGTCCGGGCCTTCGCTCCGCGCGCGCTTCCGTCTCATCCGCAGAACTTCAGACGGTTTTTTAAAGCTGGGAGAATAGCAGCCCAACTCCGCCATTCTGAACGATCCAGTCGATTATCACTGTGTGTGAAGCGGGAACCGTCTCTTGTTTGGTTTGGAACGCAAAGCTCAAAATTTCGCGCGTAGCGGAATTGCGTCAGCGCGTTGCGTGATGACGCAAATAAGCACGTTGAGTTACTAGCGAAACACCCGACAAATGTAAAGCCTCTACTGTTTCATGTTTATTTCGGACAGTAAGACAATAAAGAACGTAAAATATGCATACATCGTCTAACAAATAAAATACTCCATGTATTCTGGTAGATTGCCTACAGTGTATAAGTTTATGATCGTAGCTGAAGCAGTTTAAATGTAAAGTCACTGCTGTTACATATTTGTTTTTCTAATATTAACAGTTAATATCTACATTTATATTTAAATATTAGGTTTAAAGTTTAAATATTTAGTTTTGCACGTACCTTGTCCAGAAAGATTGTGTAGATTTTGTGGACTACAATCATTTAACTTCGCTAATATAATATAATATAATATAATATAATATAATATAATATAATATAATATAATATAATATAATATAATATAATATAATATAATATAATATAATATAATATAATATAATATAATATAATATAATATAATATAATATAATATAATATAATATAATATAATATAACATAACATAACATAATATAATATACAGAGGTGGAGAGTATTGAAGTACATTTACTTGAGTATTTTTGAGTTGAGTTACTTTTAAAAGCAAGTACTTCTGTACTTTTACATCTGTCTTTACAACTTTCACTTATAATGGAGTAATATTTGACCAGCAGTATCTGTACTTTCACTCAAGTACTGGAGTTGGGTACTTTGTCCGCCTCTGATAACAAAATAAAAAAATAAAATAAAATAAAATAAAATAATAAATTTAAAAAAAAACCTTTTTTTTTAAATAAATAAAAAATACAAAATAAAATTAAATAAAATTAAATATAATAGCTTGTTTATTTAATCAGTAGAGATTTAAAGTATTTTCCAGCTGGGTTTTTTTATTTTTTATGCTAGCAAGCAAAACTTCCTCTGTCACCCCTGTCTTTCAATATGTCAGCATCTAGATTAATGAGAGAATGTCAGGATTAATTGGCTGCTATTCATCATTTGCATCAGTGATTAATGAGGATGTGAGGCGTCAGGAGCTGGATGGATGATTTGTGGGAGGTTCTGGCTCTTCAGATCGATCCTGATGACTCGTGTGATGGATGACCACCCGACACTGAGCCATATTTGGGCATTTTTATAATAATACAGAGATTAGACTTGGTTTTTGAAGAATATATTTACACAAAATTAAAGAATTATGCACAAAACACAAAATCGGCTTTGCAAAACGAAGAAAGCTTGTATTTGAAGTGAAAGACGGCAGTAATCTCCAAGAGATCTCAACAATGTCTCAAACTGGCCTCAGATTTGCTCAAGAAGCCAAAACCTGTGATCAAACGTCAGGAAGAACTCCATCATTTCTGATATAATCATCTGAGCGGATCTGTATTCATGTTAAAGCTCTACGTGTACATAAATATGTATTTTAAAACAAAAATGTAACTTTTTTTGACATTTATTTCAACTGTTACAAAGTAAAGGGACAGTAGGTAAAGTTAATTGTTTTTATTTAATTTTTCAGCTGAAAATAGTTAATATTTAGTACTTTTACTTAAGTAAAAATCTGTCTTTACAACTTTCACTTATAATGGAGTAATATTTGACCAGCAGTATCTGTACTTTCACTCAAGTACTGGAGTTGGGTACTTTGTCCGCCTCTGATAACAAAATAAAAAAATAAAATAAAATAAAATAAAATAATAAATAAAAAAAAAAACATTTTTTTTAAATAAATAAAAAATAAAAAATTAAATTAAATTAAATTAAATATAATAGCTTGTTTATTTAATCAGTAGAGATTTAAAGTATTTTCCAGCTGGGTTTTTTTATTTTTTATGCTAGCAAGCAAAACTTCCTCTGTCACCCCTGTCTTTCAATATGTCAGCATCTAGATTAATGAGAGAATGTCAGGATTAATTGGCTGCTATTCATCATTTGCATCAGTGATTAATGAGGATGTGAGGCGTCAGGAGCTGGATGGATGATTTGTGGGAGGTTCTGGCTCTTCAGATCGATCCTGATGACTCGTGTGATGGATGACCACCCGACACTGAGCCATATTTGGGCATTTTTATAATAATACAGAGATTAGACTTGGTTTTTGAAGAATATATTTACACAAAATTAAAGAATTATGCACAAAACACAAAATCGGCTTTGCAAAACGAAGAAAGCTTGTATTTGAAGTGAAAGACGGCAGTAATCTCCAAGAGATCTCAACAATGTCTCAAACTGGCCTCAGATTTGCTCAAGAAGCCAAAACCTGTGATCAAACGTCAGGAAGAACTCCATCATTTCTGATATAATCATCTGAGCGGATCTGTATTCATGTTAAAGCTCTACGTGTACATAAATATGTATTTTAAAACAAAAATGTAACTTTTTTTGACATTTATTTCAACTGTTACAAAGTAAAGGGACAGTAGGTAAAGTTAATTGTTTTTATTTAATTTTTCAGCTGAAAATAGTTAATATTTATTATGTTTATTATTTATTACTTTCTTTTCATTTGATACCTAAAATTGCTCTCTCATTTTTTGTGCTTTTTATATGAACTTACTGTGTTTCCCAAAACGTACATTTGGAAATTAAATAAATAAATATTGTTAAATAATTGTCAAAAAGCTTAAATAAAATAAATTTAATAATTAAAAAAAAATTAAATCACAAAATGCATTATAAATGTTTTTGTAATTATTTTAATGTATATGGCCTATAGCATTACATGATTGCAACGTTATTTTGCATGTTTCTATATTATGGAATAATAAACAGAAATTAACTGATATTGTTTTCTGATTGTTTTAAGCATCTGGTAACTGAAGCAACATTCATTTAAATATTTTTTAATGATTAAAATATACAACATGTAACTGTAATCATTAGAGTACAATAACTATGAGTATTATGAATATTCATTATGAATATTTTTTATTAATTATTATTCAATTCATGGCATATACTGTACCATTATAGTGATGTTTTGTGATCTAGAGAGTTGTTTTTGTTTGGTGGACTTTCTTTCCAAAAGAAGCCAAGCAAAGAATGCACCAGACAGACTCTGATTACTAGAAATAGGCCCACTTTAAAGCACATTCAGCCGAGTATTTCTCTCTCTGTCAGACAGACGGCCGGCGGTGTGTTTGTGGGGGTCTCTGTCATGTTGCTCTCTCACCCTCCGCTCTTTTTATAAAAGCGATTTGATTTTATAGGCCTTGGCCCGACTGATATAGGTCTGCCTTTATTTAGCCTCACGTCTCCTGCGGGTCAGTGTGTTTAATTCTGAAGTACAAATAGAGGAGAAGGAACATTGTAAACGCGAGAGGTTTATCAGCCGTATCTGCAGGCTGCGGGCAGGTCGAGGCTCGTCTCTGTGTAAATTCTTCCTGGGTTGAGAATAGTACACAGACGCGTGAGCGTTAAACACTGGCACATGCTCACTAGACCAACAGATCCTGTCAGATCCGCACGACACGACACACAACAGCTGGAAAAACCAGATGCTCAAGTCAATATGAAATGCCACTTTAATGTCAGTCAAACCAAAAATAATTCAGACAGCAATTTTTTGATATTTTTTTACTAGTGGGTGCAGGACACTATAGATCATGTGTGTAAGTGAGGATAGCAAAATAAAGTAAACTGTGACATATTATAACCAAAAATTCTTCATACAGTGGACTAACAGTAAAACTGATACAAAATGATTCAGACACTTTGACCTGACCGTGTTTTGCTTAAATGTTTTTTTCCTTTAATTGCTAAATGCGACCTTTTTACAGCACAGACTGAACAAAATGAAGCATTGCTTGGTAATTAGTTGAGCTAAATTGGTTTTATCTAATTGTGCACTTTAACAGCTGACAGTCTAATTCATTACCTTTCTATCAAAGTTATCTGACATTATCAAGATGAGTTTTTTCTGACACAGTTTAACTCTGAGTTCTTGTCATATTTTATTACCATTTTCTAAACTATAGCGAATAAACTGTGATAATGTGAGACATGTTAAAGGTGTCGAAATAGATTTTGGTTTGACTGTATTTCTAAAATAAATGTACACTGTAAAAAATGACCGTGAATTTAACGGTAAAAGACTGTAAAAATGCTACAGTAAAAACCTGTTAAATGGTTAACGGTAAATTCCCCTACTATTATACGGTGAAAAACTGTATTAGACATTACATGTATTGGACATTAATTTTACGGTAGTATACCATTTTTGGAAGT